CTTTTCCGAAGTGGCAATTCTCTCGAAAAGAATGCAACGAGAAACAAATCTGAAGTGGCATTCAGAACAAATAGAACACTAGAGAATGCAACGAAAACAGCACCAGTATCTTTTCCGAAGTGGCAATTCTCTCGGAAAAGGCAAATCTGTATTCAGAACACTAGAGAATGCAACGAGAAACAGCACCAGTATCTTTTCCGAAGTGGCAATTCTCTCGAAAAGGGCAAATCTGTATTCAGAACACTAGAGAATGCAACGATCTGAAGTGGCAATTCTCTCAAGAGGAACAAATCATTCAGAACACTAGAGAATGCAACGAGAAACAGCACCAGTATCTTTTCCGAAGTGGCAATTCTCTCGGAAGAGGGCAAATCTGTATTCAGAACACTAGAGAATGCAACGAGAAACAGCACCAGTATCTTTTCCGAAGTCTCTCGGAAAAGGACAAATCTGTATTCAGAACACTAGAGAATGCAACGAGAAACAGCACCAGCATCTTTCCGAAGTTCTCTCGGAAAAGGGCAAATCTGTATTCAGAACACTAGAGAATGCAACGAGAAACAGCACCAGTATCTTTTCCGAAGTGGCAATTCTCTCGGAAAAGGACAAATCTGTATTCAGAACACTAGAGAATGCAACGAGAAACAGCACCAGTATCTTTTCCGAAGTGGCAATTCTCTCGGAAAAGGGCAAATCTGTATTCAGAACACTAGAGAATGCAACGAGAAACAGCACCAGTATCTTTTCCGAAGTGGCAATTCTCTGGAAAGAACAAATCTGTATTCAGAACACTAGAGAATGCAACGAGGAAACAGCACCAGTATCTTTTCCGAAGTGGCAATTCTCTCGGAAGAGGGCAAATCTGTATTCAGAACACTAGAGAATGCAACGAGAAACAGCACCAGTATCTTTTCCGAAATTCTCTCAGAAAGAGGAATGCAACGAGAAACAAATCTGTATTCAGAACACTAGAGAATGCAACGAGAAACAGCACCAGTATCTTTTCCGAAGTGGCAATTCTCTCGAAAGGGCAAATCTGTATTCAGAACACTAGAGAATGCAACGAGAAACAGCACCAGTATCTTTTCCGAAGTGGCAATTCTCTCGGAAGAGGGCACCAATCTGTATTCAGAACACTAGAGAATGCAACGAGAAACAACCAGTATCTTTTCCGAAGTGGCAATTCTCTCGAAGAGGGCAAAATCTGTATTCAGAACACTAGAGAATGCAACGAGAAACAGCACCAGTATCTTTTCCGAAGTGGCAATTCTCTCGGAAAAGGGCAAATCTGTATTCAGAACACTAGAGAATGCAACTAAACAGCACCAGTATCTTTTCCGAAGTGGCAATTCTCTCTCGGAAAAGAGGACAAATCTGTATTCAGAACACTAGAGAATGCAACGGGAAACAGCACCAGTATCTTTTCCGAAGTGGCAATTCTCTCGGAAGAGGCAAATCTGTATTCAGAACACTAGAGAATGCAACGAGGAAACAGCACCATCTTTTCCGAAGTGGCAATTCTCTCGGAAAAGAACAAATCTGTATTCAGAACACTAGAGAATGCAACGAGAAACAGCACCAGTATCTTTCCGAAGTGGCACCTCTCTCGGAAAAGCAAAATCTTCAAACAGCACCAGTATCTTTTCCGAGTGGCCAGAACAAAATGTATCTTTTCCGAAGTGGCAATTCTCTCGGAAAAGGGCAAATCTGTATTCAGAACACTAGAGAATGCAACGAGAAACAGCACCAGTATCTTTTCCGAAGTGGCAATTCTCTCGAAAAGGACAAATCTGTATTCAGAACACTAGAGAATGCAACGAGAAACAGCACCAGTATCTTTTCCGAAGTGGCAATTCTCTCGGAAAAGGGCAAATCTGTATTCAGAACACTAGAGAATGCAACGGAAACAGCACCAGTATCTTTTCCGAAGTGGTTCTCTCGAAAAGGGCAAATCTGTATTCAGAACACTAGAGAATGCAACGAGAAACAGCACCAGTATTTTTTCAGTATCTTTTCAGAACACTAGAAATGCAACGAGAAACAGCACCAGTATCTTTTCCGAAGGGCAATTCTCTCGGAAAAGGGAACAAATCTGTATTCAGAACACTAGAGAATGCAACGAGAAACAGCACCAGTATCTTTTCGAAGTGGCAATTCTCTCAGAAGGGCAAATCTGTATTCAGAACACTAGAGAATGCAACGAGAAACAGCACCAGTATCTTTTCCGAAGTGGCAATTCTCTCGAAAGGACAAATCTGTATTCAGAACACTAGAGAATGCAACGGGAAACAGCACCAGTATCTTTTCCGAAGTGGCAATTCTCTCGGAAAGGGCAAATCTGTATTCAGAACACTAGAGAATGCAACGAGAAACAGCACCAGTATCTTTTCGAAGTGGCAATTCTCTCGGAAAAGGGCAAATCTGTATTCAGAACACTAGAGAATGCAACGGGAAACAGCACCTTTTCCGAAGTGGCAATTCTCTCGGAAAGGGCAAATCTTTTTCAGTGGCAATTCTCTCGGAAGAACAAATCTATTCAGAACACTAGAAATGCAACGAGAAACAGCACCAGTATCTTTTCCGAAGTGGCAATTCTCTCGAAGAGGGCAAATCTATTCAGAACACTAGAGAATGCAACGAAAACAGCACCAGTATCTTTTCCGAAGTGGCAATTCTCTCGAAAAGGGCAAATCTGTATTCAAACACTAGAGAATGCAACGGGAAACAGCACCAGTATCTTTTCCGAAGTGGCAATTCTCTCGGAACACTAGAGAATGCAACGAGAAACAAATCTTTTCGTATTCAGAACACTAGAACACTAATGCAACGAGAAACAGCACCAGTATCTTTTCCGAAGTGGCAATTCTCTCGGAAGAGGGCAAATCTGTATTCAGAACACTAGAGAATGCAACGAGAAACAGCACCAGTATCTTTCCGAAGTGGCAATTCTCTCGGAAGAGGGCAAATCTGTATTCAGAACACTAGAGAATGCAACGAGAAACAGCACCAGTATCTTTTCCGAAGCAATTCTCTCGAAAAGAACAAATCTGTATTCAGAACACTAGAATGCAACGAGAAACAGCACCAGTATCTTTTCCGAAGTGGCAATTCTCTCGGAAAAGGGCAAATCTGTATTCAGAACACTAGAGAATGCAACGAGAAACAGCACCAGTATCTTTTCCGAAGTGGCAATTCTCTCGGAAGAGGGCAAATCTGTATTCAGAACACTAGAGAATGCAACGAGAAACAGCACCAGTATCTTTTCCGAAGTGGCAATTCTCTCGGAAAATCAGATTCAGAAAGGGCAAATCTGTATTCAGAACACTAGAGAATGCAACGAGAAACAGCACCAGTATCTTTTCCGAAGTGGCAATTCTCTCGGAAAAGAACAAATCTGTATTCAGAACACTAGAGAATGCAACGGGAAACAGCACCAGTATCTTTTCCGAAGTGGCAATTCTCTCGGAAAGAACAAATCTGTATTCAGAACACTAGAGAATGCAACGAGAAACAGCACCAGTATCTTTTCCGAAGTGGCAATTCTCTCGGAAGAGGGCAAATCTGTATTCAGAACACTAGAAATGCAACGAGGAAACAGCACCAGTATCTTTTCCGAAGTGGCAATTCTCTCGGAAAGGGCAAATCTGTATTCAGAACACTAGAGAATGCAAATCTTTTCCGTATTCTCTCGAACACTGTATTCAGAGAAATGCAACGAAAACAGCACCAGTATCTTTTCCGAATTCTCTCGGAAAAGGGCAAATTCAGAACACTCAACGAGAAACAGCAACAGAATCTTTTCGAAGTGGCAAAAAAGGGCAAATCTGTATTCAGAACACTAGAGAATGCAACGAGAAACAGCACCAGTATCTTTTCCGAAGTGGCAATTCTCTCGGAAAAGAACAAATCTGTATTCAGAACACTAGAGAATGCAACGAGAAACAGCACCAGTATCTTTTCCGAAGTGGCAATTCTCTCGGAAGAGAACAAATCTGTATTCAGAACACTAGAATGCAACGAGAAAACAGCACCAGTATCTTTCCGAAGTGGCAATTCTCTCGGAGAACAAATCTGTATTCAGAACACTAGAGAATGCAACGAGAAACAGCATCTTTTCAGTATCTTTTCCGAAGTGGCAATTCTCTCGGAAAAGCAAATCTGTATTCAGAACACTAGAGAATGCAACGAGAAACAGCACCAGTATCTTTTCGAAGTCTCTCGGAACAATCTGTATTCAGAACACTAGAAGAACTTTCGAAGTGGCAATTCTAGAGAAATGCAACGAGAAACAGCACCAGTATCTTTTCCGAAGTGGCTTCTCTCTCGGAAAGAGGTTCTGTATTCAGAACACTAGAGAATGCAACGAAGCACCGTATCTTTTCCGAAGTGGCAATTCTCTCGAAGAATCTGTATTCAGAACACTAGAGAATGCAACGAGAAACAGCACCAGTATCTTTTCCGAAGTGGCAATTCTCTCTCGAAAAGGACAAATCTGTATTCAGAACACTAGAGAATGCAACGAGAAACAGCACCAGTATCTTTTCCGAAGTGGCAATTCTCTCGAAAAGGAAATCTGTATTCAGAACACTAGAGAATGCAACGGAACAGCACCAGTATCTTTTCCGAAGTGGCAATTCTCTCGAAAAGGGCAAAATCTCTAGAGAATGCAACGAGAAACAGCACCAGTATCTTTTCCGAAGTGGCAATTCTCTCGGAAGAGGGCAAATCTGTATTCAGAACACTAGAGAATGCAACGAGAAACAGCACCAGTATCTTTTCCGAAGTGGCAATTCTCTCGGAAAAGGGCAAATCTGTATTCAGAACACTAGAGAATGCAACGAGAAACAGCACCAGTATCTTTTCCGAAGTGGCAATTCTCTCGGAAAAGGGCAAATCTGTATTCAGAACACTAGAGAATGCAACGAGAAACAGCACCAGTATCTTTTCCGAAGTGGCAATTCTCTCGGAAGAGGGCAAATCTGTATTCAGAACACTAGAGAATGCAACGAGAAACAGCACAGTATCTTTTCCGAAGTGGCAATTCTCTCGGAAAAGGGCAAATCTGTATTCAGAACACTAGAGAATGCAACGAGAAACAGCACCAGTATCTTTTCCGAAGTGGCAATTCTCTCGGAAAAGGGCAAATCTGTATTCAGAACACTAGAAATGCAACGAGAAACAGCACCAGTATCTTTTCCGAAGTGGCAATTCTCTCGGAAAAGGGCAAATCTGTATTCAGAACACTAGAGAATGCAACGAGAAACAGCACCAGTATCTTTTCCGAAGTGGCAATTCTCTCGAAAAAGGGCAAATCTGTATTCAGAACACTAGAGAATGCAACGAGAAACAGCACCAGTATCTTTTCCGAAGTGGCAATTCTCTCGGAAAAGGGCAAATCAGTATTCAGAACACTAGAGAATGCAACGAGAAACAGCACCAGTATCTTTTCCGAAGTGGCAATTCTCTCGGAAAAGGGCAAATCTGTATTCAGAACACTAGAGAATGCAACGAAAACAGCACCAGTATCTTTTCGAAGTGGCAATTCTCTCTCGAAGGGCAAATCTGTATTCAGAACACTAGAGAATGCAACGAGAAAACAGCACCAGTATCTTTTCCGAAGTGGCAATTCTCTCGGAAGAGGGCAAATCTGTATTCAGAACACTAGAACGAAAATAGCACCAGTATCTTTTCCGCAATTCTCTCGGAGAAAATCAGCACCAGTATCTTTTCGAAGTGGCAATTCTCTCGGAAAAGGGCAAATCTGTATTCAGAACGTATTCAGAACACTAGAGAATGCAACGAGAAACAGCACCAGTATCTTTTCCGAAGTGGCAATTCTCTCGGAAAGGGCAAATCTGTATTCAGAACACTAGAGAATGCAACGAGAAACAGCACCAGTATCTTTTCCGAAGTGGCAATTCTCTCTCGGAAGAGAACAAATCTGTATTCAGAACACTAGAGAATGCAACGAGAACAGCACCAGTATCTTTTCCAGTGGCAATTCTCTCGGAAAAGAGGCAAATCTGTATTCAGAACACTAGAATGCAACGAGAAACAGCACCAGTATCTTTTCCGAAGTGGCAATTCTCTCGAAAAGGGCAAATCTGTATTCAGAACACTAGAGAATGCAACGAGAAACAGCACCAGTATCTTTTCCGAAGTGGCAATTCTCTCGAAAAGGGCAAATCTGTATTCAGAACACTAGAGAATGCAACAAAACAGCACCAGTATCTTTTCCGAAGTGGCAATTCAGAACAAATCTGTATTCAGAACACTAGAGAATGCAACGAGAAACAGCACCAGTATCTTTTCCGAAGTGGCAATTCTCTCGAAAAGGGCAAATCTGTATTCAGAACACTAGAGAATGCAACGAGAAACAGCACCAGTATCTTTTCCGGCAAAGTGGCAATTCTCTCGAAAAACGAAACACAAATCTGTATTCAGAACACTAGAGAATGCAACGAGAAACAAAGACCAGTATCTTTTCCGAAGTGGCAATTCTCTCAAAAAAGGCAAATCTGTATTCAGAACACTAGAAAAATGCAACGAGAGAAAAACAGCACCAGTATCTTTTCCGAAGTGGCAATTCTCTCGGAAAAAGGGCAAATCTGTATTCAGAACACTAGAGAATGCAACGAGAAACAGCACCAGTATCTTTTCCGAAGTGGCAATTCTCTCGGAAGAGGCAAATCTGTATTCAGAACACTAGAGAATGCAACGAGAAACAGCACCAGTATCTTTTTCCGAAGTGGCAATTCTCTCTTTCCGGAAAATTCTCTCTCGGCAAATCTGTATTCAGAACACTAGAGAATGCAACGAGAAACAAACCAGTATCTTTTCCGAAGTGGCAATTCTCTCGGAAGAGGGCAAATCTATTCAGAACACTAGAGAATGCAACGAGAAACAGCACCAGTATCTTTTCCGAAGTGGCAATTCTCTCTCGGAAGAGGGCAAATCTGTATTCAGAACACTAGAGAATGCAACGAGAAACAGCACCAGTATCTTTTCCGAAGTGGCAATTCTCTCGAAAGGGCAAATCTGTATTCAGAACACTAGAGAATGCAACGAGAAAACAGCACCAGTATCTTTTCCGAAGTGGCAATTCTCTCGGAAGAGGCAAATCTGTATTCAGAACAAAGAATGCAACGAGAAACAGCACCAGTATCTTTTCCGAAGTGGCAATTCTCTCGAGAACAAATCTGTATTCAGAACACTAGAGAATGCAACGAGAAACAGCACCAGTATCTTTTCCGAAGTGGCAATTCTCTCGGAAGAGGGCAAATCTGTATTCAGAACACTAGAGAATGCAACGAGAAACAGCACCAGTATCTTTTTCTTTTCTCGGAAAAGGGCAAATCTGTATTCAGAACACTAGAGAAACGGGCAAATCTGTATTAGACACCAGATCTTTGGCACCTCTTCGGAAGAGGGCAAATCTGGAACACTAGACCATGCAACGAGAAATAGCCCAGTATCTTTTCGAAGTGGCAATTCTCTCCGAAAAGCAAATCTGTATTCAGAACACTAGAGAATGCAACGAGAAACAGCACCAGTATCTTTTCCGAAGTGGCAATTCTCTCGGAAAGAGGCGGAAAATCTGTATTCAAGAACACTAGAGAATGCAACGACCAGAACACAGCAACAGTATCTTTTCCGAAGTGGCAATTCTCTCGGAAAAGGCAAATCTGTATTCAGAACACTAGAGAATGCAACGAAAACAGCACCAGTATCTTTTTCCGAAGTGGCAATTCTCTCGGAAGAGGGCAAATCTGTATTCAGAACACTAGAGAATGCAACGAGAAACAGCACCAGTATCTTTTCCGGTAGCAATTCTCTCGGAAAAGGGCAAATCTGTATTCAGAACACTAGAGAATGCAACGAGAAACAGCACCAGTATCTTTTCCGAAGTGGCAATTCTCTCGGAAAGGGGGCAAATCTGTATTCAACGAACAGCACCAGTATCTTTTCCGAAGTGGCAATTCTCTCGAAGAGGGCAACGATTCAGAACACTAGAGAATGCAACGAGAAACAGCACCAGTATCTTTTCCGAAGTGGCAATTCTCTCGAAAAGGCAAATCTGTATTCAGAACACTAGAGAATGCAACGAGAAACAGCACCAGTATCTTTTCCGAAGTGGCAATTCTCTCTCGGAAGAGGGCAAATCTGTATTCAGAACACTAGAGAATGCAACGAAAACAGCACCAGTATCTTTTCCGAAGTGGCAATTCTCTCGGAAAAGGGCAAATCTGTATTCAGAACACTAGAAGAATGCAACGAGAAACAGCACCAGTATCTTTTCCGAGTGGCAATTCTCTCGGAAGAAGAAACAAATCAAACGGGAAACAGCACCAGTATTCAGAACACTAGAAGATGTAAACAACACTGAGAATGCAACGAAACATTCTTTTCCGAAGTGGCAATTCTCTCGAAAAGGGCAAATCTGTATTCAGAACACTAGAGAATGCAACGAAAACAGCACCAGTATCTTTTCCGAAGTGGCAATTCTCTCGGAAGAGGGCAAATCTGTATTCAGAACACTAGAGAATGCAACGAGAACAGCACCAGTATCTTTTCCGAAGTGGCAATTCTCTCGGAAAAGAAACAAATCTGTATTCAGAACACTAGAGAATGCAACGAAACAGCACCAGTATTTTCCGAAGTTTTTCCGAAGTGGCAATTCTCTCTAGAGAATGCAACGAGAAACAAGTATCTTTCCGAAGTGGCAATTCTCTCGAAGAGGCAAATCTGTATTCAGAACACTAGAGAATGCAACGAAAACAGCACCAGTATCTTTTCCGAAGTGGCAATTCTCTCGGAAGAGGGCAAATCTGTATTCAGAACACTAGAGAATGCAACGAAAACAGCACCTCGGAAAAGTATCTTTTCCGAAATGCAATTCTTTTCCGGAATTCTCTCGGAAGCAAATCTGTATTCAGAACACTAGAGAATGCAACGGAAACAGCACCAGTATCTTTCCGAAGTGGCAATTCTCTCGGAAGAACACTGGGCAAATCAGCAGAGAATGTATCTTTTCCGAAGTGGCAATTCTCTCGGAAAAGGGCAAATCTGTATTCAGAACACTAGAGAATGCAACGAGAAACAGCACCAGTATCTTTTCCGAAGTGGCAATTCTCTCGGAAGAGGGCAAATCTGTATTCAGAACACTAGAGAATGCAACGAGAAACAGCACCAGTATCTTTTCCGAAGTGGCAAATCCTAGAACATTCTCTCGGAAGAGAGCAAATCTGTATTCAGAACACTAGAGAATGCAACGAGAAACAGCACCAACGAGTATCTTTTCCGGAAGAGGCAATTCTCTCAGAACACTAGAGAAAAGCAACGGGAAACAGCACCAATATCTTTCCGAACATTTCCCGGAAGAGGGCAAATCTGTAAATCTCTGTTCTTTCCAGCGGCAAAAAAGGGCAAATCTATTCAGAACACTAGAGAATGCAACGAAACAGCACCAGTATCTTTTCCGAAGTGGCAATTCTCTCGGAAGAAAAATCTGTATTCAGAACACTAGAGAATGCAACGGGAAACAGCACCAGTATCTTTTCCGGCAATTCAATCTGTATTCAGAACACTAGAGAATGCAACGGAAACAGCACCAGTATCTTTTCCGAAGTGGCAAATCTGTATTCAGAACACTAGAGAATGCAACGAGAAACAGCACCAGTATCTTTTCCGAAGTGGCAATTCTCTCGAAGAGGCAAATCTTTTCAGAACACTAGAGAATGCAACGGGAAACAGCACCAGTTCTTTTTCCAAGTGGCAATTCTCTCGAAGAGGGCAAATCTGTATTCAGAACACTAGAAATGCAACGGAAACAGCACCAGTATCTTTTTCCGAAGTGGCAATTCTCTCGAAAAGAAACAAATCTGTATTCAGAACACTATGCAACGGAAACAGCACCAGTATCTTTTCCGAAGTGGCAATTCTCTCGAAGAGGGCAATCTGTATTCAGAACACTAGAGAATGCAACGGGAAACAGCACCAGTATCTTTTCCGAAGTGGCAATTCTCTCGGAAGAGGGCAAATCTGTATTCAGAACACTAGAGAATGCAACGAGAAACAGCACCAGTATCTTTTCCGAAGTGGCAATTCTCTCGAAAAGGGCAAATCTGTATTCAGAACACTAGAGAATGCAACGAGAAACAGCACCAGTATCTTTTCCGAAGTGGCAATTCTCTCGGAAGAGGGCAAATCTGTATTCAGAACACTAGAGAATGCAACGAGGAAACAGCACAGTATCTTTCCGAAGTGGCATCTTTTCAGAACACTAGAAGAATGCAACGGAAACAGCACCAGTTCTCTTTCGAAGTGGCAATTCTCTCGGAAGAGGCAAATCTGTATTCAGAACACTAACGGAAACAGCATATCTTTTCCGAAGTGGCAACTCTCTCAGAAACTAGAGAAAACAGAAACAGCACCAGTATCTTTCCGAAGCACCAAATCTGTATCTTTTCCGAAACAGCAATTCTCTCTCGGAAAAGGCAAATCATATTCAGAACACTAGAGAATGCAAATCTTTTCCGATTCAGAAAACAAATCTGTATTCAGAACAAGAGAATGCAACGGGAAACAGAACCAGTATCTTTCCGAAGTGGCAATTCTCTCGGAAGAGGGCAAAATCTGTATTCAGAACACTAGAGAATGCAACGAGAAACAGCACCAGTATCTTTTCCGAAGTGGCAATTCTCTCGGAAGAGGGCAAATCTGTATTCAGAACACTAGAGAATGCAACGAGAACAGCACCAGTATCTTTTCCGAAGTGGCAATTCTCTCGGAAGAGGGCAAATCTGTATTCAGAACAATAGAGAATGCAACGAAAACAGCACCAGTATCTTTTCCGAAAAGGGCAATTCTTCAG